CCATTGAGTCTTCTGCATGCTCACTGGGGTTACAAGATGTCCCCAGACCAGTGACAATGAGAAAAAGAAGGCCTAAAATGAAAAATACGCTATTGATGGGTCGCCAAATGGTAAAGCCCACTGATTGTCATTGCCATTTCTTTCATTTCAGTTAGAGACTTGGCATTATTATAACCAAATTAGCAATTGTGACCTGAGCAAACATGCTGGGATTTGGACTTGTCACAATGCCCACACAGAGGGGTGCCGGTCCGAAGGGGACATCCCGCACAGCAGGGTTCCCTCTCTCTGAGATGATCTTATGTGGCCTCCTGCTGACTGCACCAGTCCAACATGATAAAGCTGGCTTGCAAACAAAAGAACCACAAGGAGAATCCCTGGCTACCTTGCTCAAGCCGTCCCTCACAGCGTGAAGACACAAAAAGCATACACTATCAACACAATCACTTGATTATTGGAGGGTATTGAATGCTAATTGACATTGGAGACCAGGACAGAATCCCATTAGTTATCTTCTAGAGGGTGTCGACCTCTAAAAAGAGTGGAAGTATACTTGATAATGAACATTTCTTTTGTATTCTGTTTGAATTAATATTAGGACAAACACTGAAAAATTTGACAAAATTAAAGTGTAATATCTTGGTGTTTTTGCCATCCATTATTATTCAAAAAGGGATTTTGTAAGACTTTCACACGTCAATTTCTCTGGTAGTTCTGGTTCCCATTTCCCAATGGGTGTGACTATTTCCCTGAGCTTGTGGCTCTGAAAACCTGGGTGGCCGTGGCTCTCCCTTTAGAGTACAATACAAGCTAAGTTTAGCAACCTAAATCTGCAATAACACAGCTCCTAGCTACGGCTAATCCTATCAAAATGGACTCCCTCGCAGAGACAATGTGAACCAGTGCCTGCTAATGACTGAGAGATGTCACACATGGAATGTTCTGAGCAATGGGAGGACATGTGCCAAACTCCTGAGAGCTGCTCCACCTAGGCCTAAAACCAACAAGCCATGCAACTGAGGCCTGCGCAGATCCATCCGAACTACCTAAACAAACTGCAGATGTTCTGGCAGAGGCTCGAGTGGTGACATGCACCTATACAAAGTCACACATGCGGTGTAGACATGAGAAACGTCGGCCTCACATGTTCTCTGAAGAGATGCGGAGAGAAATGTTGAAGTTTGCCGAAGTCTTTTTCAATGGTCGGAGAGTTTGTACAATATAAGATCATTCCCAATTCCCAATAATTCTTTATTGGAAAATGTGATCATTTGGAAGACACATTTATAGACAATCATATCTATGTAAAATGCATGAAATTTTCACTTCAGATTATATCGTGCACACGATTTATAAATCGAGAGAACGAATTAGAAAATTGTGCACACGATTTAGCAATTCGATGGAACGAAATAGTAATCGTGCACGTTTTAGTACATCGAGGGAACAAATTAGTAAATCGTGCGCACGATTTATTTATTTTTTCTTGCATGTCATGTTGTACTCACACCATAGATTTGCAGCCTTTTCCCTTCATTCATAAAAGCATCACTAATGATTATCAAACAAGGGCTTCGGTCAAAACATTTTCCATCATTTTTAAATGAAACATTTGGACTTGGTTTTAAAATACATTTCAAAATAGTCTGCTACCAGTGAGTTTTTTTTCTTCTTCAAGAGAACAAGAGAACTTTTCATGAAATGCCCCATGAATGATATTCCCTTGATCTATGCGATCACCCTTGTGCAATATCTCAAGCCTGACAGCCAGTCAACGATACAAACAATATGGCAAATAGCAAGTTGCAAATGGTCATTGATTGTTTAGATGTTCTTGGCGACAGCATGCCATTGGAGGTCACATTTGTTTACTCCCCAAATTTTAGAAAATGTTGAAAATGCATTAAAGAGTGTTGACTCGTTGACGAGGTTTTCCATGTTCAGACAGTGACATTGGACAAATCTTTATTGTGAAGTCAAAAAACGGTGCTTTTAATTGTCACTAATTTCATATTTTACTGTGTTTTTGGTTTATTTCACATTGTATTTTGAAACAGTTTTAAACTTTAGCAAGCATACCTCATTACCTTTCTTTAGCTGTGCACATTGTACTGCTGTAAAAAGTTAACACACACACACACACACACACACACAAATATTTTTTCTTCAAAAATTACACCAAAAATAAATCCATACATTCAACAGGAAATGACAACAGGAATGCTGTGTTTTTGTATATGAAACACATTAGGACAAACGCTTGTCACTTTCAACAATGCAGTAGAATAGATGGAAATAATTACGGGGAAGAGGACAAAAAGGAGGAGCCTCGAGCCGCACACAGAATGCCACGCTGAAATTAAAAATGAATCCATTTACTTCAGGCTGTTTACTTTGTACTTTTGGCTGGCGAGGAAGAAAAAGAAAGAGGCAGTTCAGAGGCTACTCTTTTCCCCCTTTTTCTTCAAGCACTTTAAAAACGGGCCTAGCAAATGCCCTGGCAGCGCCGAGAAGAAGCAGAAAGAAAGAAAAGCACAGTAACATCTGCAGACGCTTCCAGACAGACAGTTGGGATGTGAATAACTCAACTCTCAGCCTGCCCTGACCTCTGGAGAACAAAGGGGAGATGCCTAGCAGAGGAGCGGGGCCGGTGAGCGGGATTTATTGTCCCCGCTCCGGGTGAAAGCGGTGCCATCGGGGCACCCAGCGCCGCATACCACCGCGACTGTCATAGCTGCCGCACAAAGATGCGCAATCCCAGAAGAGCGGGAGAGAGAGAGAGAGAGAGAGAGAGAAAAGCAGATCTCCTCTCCCCCAGCCAGAGCTGCTACCATTAGATAGCAATTTGACAGACGCGTGGAAAAAGCCGCAGTTTGGACCGCAAACAAGACTTTCGAAATAATCATACATTTATCTTCGACAAACCGGGAGAAATAAGGCGGGCCAGAGTCGGCCGACTTACAGAGGGGGAAATCGCGGATCTAAAGGGAGGCGCATTCCAAACAACTGACCCTCAGTTCCCTAGCAAAGGCCCACACCACAGTTCTTTTCATCCCCTCTGTCCGTCTAGGGAGCGAGTGATAGAGAACAGGGGGATGCTCCTTAAACACAGACTTTGAAACCCACCCCCTCCCTTTTGTGCCATTTTGTCTCTACTTTTGTTTTGAACTTGTTAACTTCTCGGCGGCCGCACTGGCCCCAGCAGCTGTTCAGCTCGCAGGGACCCTCGAGGCATCAGTATTCAAAATGAGCAACTTGTACAATATATCCGGAAATGTTAACAGTCTGGACAGACGGCAGTGTCAAAATATACTTCAGTGGAATTTTCAAAAATGTAAACTGTAATATCGGACAGCTATATATCCAACTTTTTTTTGCATACATTCATATACAACGATATATACAGTAGGTACTACAAATCTCAGCTGTCTGTTTTTTTTCCCAAGAAAAATGTAACAATGTTAACTTCCAGCTCTATATATAAACTTTGATATTTAAGTATGTTCAACTTTACATGAATACACACAGTATACTCACATAAGTCTATATACATTGTATAGCAAATCTCAAATATATCATTGTAAAATGTTACAATATTATCGCCCAGCTCTTTATATAAAGTTGTATATATAAGTACATTCAACCTTATCGGCATATATAGGGCAATATTTACTTCTTTAGAAAATCTGATTGCAAAAGATAACTAACCTAGTGAAAAATAAATAAACTAAAATGTATTTGAAATACATTTATTTCATGCTAATTATACTACAAATACATTGACATATTTATGTACTTAATAAAAATACCCTGCATTTGTATGTTTAGTATACTAAACTGGCATACTTAAAGTCTGCTAAATTGGAACAACTAATTTTGTACTTAATGCACTTTAATTGTACTGAAGTCCAACTAAAGATATACTGAAGTATATTTGATTGTGCTAAAGTGGAACTATACTTCATGTGCATTTTAAATATATTGTATTTAAAAACTGATATTATTCAAAGATCATAAAATCCTCATCAAAATTGACATTAAAACTCATTTTAGGCTCAATATTAAGAAATGTGCATTGCGCACAAGTAGTACACAAGTATCAGTAACTCTCGAGTGATATGTCAGTAAATAAATGTATTTTAAATATATTTCTTTTTTACTAGGGTATGTTATTGCCCAGCTCTATATATAATTTGTATGTATATTATATTGAACTTTTTTCACATGCATACAGTAAACTCATGTAAAGTTTATGCCTCAGGGCTCAGTGCTTGGACCACTTCTCTTCTCTGTCTACATCTAAATGTAAATGTAAATGTAAATGTAAGTTATATACTGTACAGAAAATCCCAACTGCCTGTTTTATTTTCCACAAAATATAGCCCAGCCCTCTATATAAATTTGTAGTTTCTGCATACATTATCTGCATGCAAACAGTATACTCAAGTAAAGCAATATATACTATATGTCAAAACTGCTTGATGGCTTGTATTGTCACAAAATATAATCTACATTATTGTCCTTCTCTAATCTTTTAAATGTGACTACAAGTATGTGACAAAGTATAAGCACTTTGTAAATACATTTAATTTGACGTGACATATGTTTTACCACTTTGAACAAACTTTGGTTGAAAGCTTTTATTTGTCTACTATCACAATTAGTAACATTTCCCAAATGATAAGGAAACATAATTTGTGCCATTAAACGTGTCACGCTTATGTACCGATGGCGTTAATATATCTTTCCACATGTGCACACTGGATGTGTAGAAATTTGAATCTGATCACAGGGAGAGACATTATCAACTGCAAATCAATACAACAAAACCTTTCAAGATAACTGTGTGTGTGTGTGTGTGTGTGTGTGAGAGAGAGAGTCTTCATTGATATTCATCCCTACATTCCCAGCGAGCGAGAGTGGCGAATCCCTGCACAGGCTGTAGAGCTGCCGTTCCCTCTTATTAAAAAGTTGTTTGATTAGCGTGGCCCAGAATGGCACCATGGAAAGGTCTGCTAGCAGTAGATAAAAGACGAATGATAAATAGGCAAAAAAGGCAGGCGATCACCAGTCTGCCACTAGAGCATCAAAACACAAGCCAATTCTCTGCATAGTTGATCCAATTATTGTCAGCTGGTGGGCGATAGCTCGGGTGCTTTTCTCCATTCATTCCAATCTAAATTGCTCTTCCCCTTTTCCTGATACAGAAATCGCTCGTAAAGGGGCGGCCATCATTAAAGTTGTTTGAATTGGAGCCCTATAGTGTTTGGTTAAGAGGGCAAATGCAAATTTGATGAAGGAATAAGGCTAAATTTACATATCTGCCTCAGCTCACACGGGGAGGGTAAACATTCTGTTTATCTCGAGTGTCATTTTATGATTTCAGTAGAATATAAAGCTGACCTTGGCCTTGACCAGCCAATTCTCTGCAAAGTTGATCCAATTATTGTCAGCTGGTGGGCGATAGCTCAGACGCTTTCCACCATTCATTCCAATCTAAATTGCTCTTCCCCTTTTCCTGATACAGAAATCGCTCGTAAAGGGGCGGCCATCATTAAAGTTGTTTGAATTGGAGCCCTATAGTGTTTGGTTAAGAGGGCAAATGCAAATTTGATGAAAGAATAAGGCTAAATTTACATATCTGCCTCAGCTCACACGGGGAGGGTAAACATTCTGTTTATCTCGAGTGTCATTTTATGATTTCAGTAGAATATAAAACTGACCTTGGCCTCGACCACTGCAAAAGACATCAGCGAAATATACTGTTGTCCAAATACAATTTGTTGAAGAGGAAATTGTCAACAGATCCTCAATAACTCAGCAAACACAAGACCAATTTGTTGGTATGGAAATATACCAGAACCAGACAGACCAATCTTGTTCTTATGGGTTCATTATATTTATATAATAATAATAATAATAATAATAATAAATAATAATTTTGCATTAATATTATTTTACTTAATTACATTTATATTGTGCTTTTTTTATTTATTTCTTTTTTTTTTATGGTAAGTGACCATATGATACCTAGCCACACATATGGATTTTAATAGACAAAAATACTGTAAGTAAAGTATTAAAGCACAAGGTATTATTATTATTATTAATAATAATAATAATTCTACATTAATATTATTTTACAAAATTACATTTATATTGCACTTTTTTTTATGGTGAGCAGCCATATGATGCATATCCACACATATAGATTTCAATAGACAAAAATATTGTAATGGAAAAAAAATGCTTAACAGGAAATTTAAAGTATAAATCAAATCAAACAGAGATTACAGGCCATCTCCTATAAATCATTTTTCAAATTGGCAGTAAGTACACTGTAATTACTGCTCCTCTCCAAACACTTAACCACTGTTATAACAAAGCATAACTTTGTAGATCACTTCCGGGGTAGAAAAGGATATCATTTCTGATCATTTTTGTTGATTTCTTATTGTTTTCCAAAATGTAATTAATCTAATAAAACATTGTGGGGAATTGTATTTAATAAATAATTTTCCATTTATTTATTTAACACATAACTGAATATGACAATAACCACTACAAATCAAGTTTGAAACACGTTTTACTCTTTGATCAGCATCTTCAAATCAACTTCAAGACATCCAAGACAAGCCTGAGGACAAACATCTTCCTAATTTCTTGTACAAGTAGGCATACAGTTTATTTCAAATAGCGGGATGAGTGAATGACTTTCACATGACTAAACAGGTCTTGTTGTGTTTTCACTTTATGCTCCAGAGTGAACTTCAAAGTAATGTTGCTCTGGTTCTTCAACCTCAGAATAGACACAATGAGTGCAGGTGCAGTTCCATTATGAATCATATTCATGCTGACAGGGCGGTATGAGGTAACAGGTAAAAAGGTTCTATCACATTTACCTTCATTTGTCTGGAGAAATCTGACAAAAGCAGTTTCCAACAAAGCACGAAAACAGAAAAAGCTAAACATGACAACTTCTATTGCGCAGGTATGTAAAGATAGCAACGCACCCTTGCTATAATTCATCAAAAATGAAGTAAAATGCTGCTATCAGAGTCTATGTTTAGAACAGAAGTGTCATGCCTACTCAAATAATGGCTGCTTCAGATTTCTGAGCCAAGTGGATTTGTTTAAATGAAACTCCCCAAAACAAACAAATAAATATATAAACAAAATCATAAATCTTCATCAAACTCATCTACCTCTCATTACACTAAAAACTTATATGACTATTTTCCCCAAGGAAGTAAATGTGCAAGCTGCTCTGTCCATACTATGAAAATGCTTTGTGATCATTGATGGTCAATTTCTGTTGCAGTTGTTTTGCTTTTTCAGTTTAGCTTTTCTTCGAAACAAAACAAAACAAAACAAAACAAAAAAACAAAGAACAACTTGGTCATGTTAGGGGACCAAGTGAGTCAGCACTGTGACTGATGCTCACTCAACGTATAAAGGTGCATAATGTCCTTTTTCAACACTGTCCACAACTCCATTGTTCCCTTATTTTAATAGTACTAATGATTACACTCTTATATGTTTGCTACAGTATGTGACCCAAATCACATACATGATGACATATTCAAGTGGAGAGCTGCCATACCTATGTCTGGTCAAAAAAAAAAAAAACTTCACGAGAGCAGGTCTAACACAGAGGACTGAGGGTAAAAAGTTCATTGTGCAATTCAAAGCCATGGGCCACCCCTGAAAAAGCATGAGCTCGCTGTCACTTTGCTCTAATCAATCATGCAAGTAAAGACTTTTCATCAGTCTTGTTTTCATTTACCATGTGAGTCATTTGCAGGTCATGACATTCTTCACAATATCAGTAATACCTTCCAATGATACTGACAGTGGCAAATGTGTCATCCTTTTATGTCAATTTCTTTTGTCAGACAACTCTGACAACCATATGCAATTTTAGCATCATCTTTCTTTCTGTTTTGCAGAAATCTCATGTTCGTCAGAAGGCTCTTCTTTGCTTGTGGAATCCATTCCACTGCTCAGCATGTGCCCTTGTGTTGGATATAAATTTTTAGAAAGATTAGAAACTTAACTTTCCTTCCAAATTACCATCTGGTCGTAATATCCTTTAAGTAACACAATTCAGCACACAATTGGGCACAGGGATTCTGGTGGGGCTTTCTAAGCCACCTGCTACACCCTATCACAGATTCACATCCCACAATTGAACCTAATGACATGACCAAATTCTCTATCCCAGCAGTCAAGCTCTACAGCAATTTTTTAAAACAAACAAAAAAATATTAATTAATAATTAATTCATTTTGAATTAAGTTCTAAGTTTCTCAGAGCTGCATTATTCTAATCTATAAATTATTGAAGTTAATCGATGCAATCAAGCCAATAACCTCAGTCCTAAAACTTGAAGTCCGTACGTCTGTCAAAATATCTCCCAGGGGTCCCAAGCTTTACTTCCAATGTGTGTCAGTCTGTTCCGTCTGTCATTGTGTCTGTTAGCTAGAGTCACTCATAACTTTCCATGACACATGCAGTCACAAAGCCAGCAATGAATCCATTTCTCCAGGGTTATGGCTGGCAGGATTCAGTGCCTGCTGCTCTCAGCACCACACAATGCTTGGCACACAGATGCATATAACAGCAAACCCCAGCAACTAAATTTATATTGTATACCAGACATTTAGATTTAAAGGTACTGCATGTAATTTTTTGAATGTAGTAAAGCATAAAAATACAACATGTGTGCAAGTTCACATACTTGTTTCTTCAAAAAACAAAACAAAGCAACAACATCAACAATGCTACAGCCAGTTATTCTACACTGAAACATGTGTTCCGTGTCAGAATGTCTGTTTTTGTTTTGGTCTGTGTGTCCACCTACTACCAGTTTACCCAACAGTATTTCGACACCGCAGGTTGCCAGTTGGCGGAAAATGCAGCGCATTGCAGCCATGGAAGCCAGCAAAGGAACTAGGTCACAGATTGAAGATTCTACCTGACCTAAAAAGAGGCATATTAATAAATCAACTCATCAAATCAATTGCGATGACTCCTACTATGTGTCCTCAATCTGGCAAACTGCATGAGTGTCAAATCTGAGGAGAAGGGGACGGGAGAAACAACTCAGTCCAATATTTTGAATTTGAACTGCAATAGCCATTTCAACCGCTAGCTGTCAATATTAAATACTGCACCTTGTAATAATTTCTTAACTCAGTTAACCTGTCCTAGACTTCAAAGGATTTACATGGTAGTTGTTTCATTTAAATTTGACTGTTGTTGGGTTGAGAAGTATGTCAAAATGCAACACCCAAAAGACATGTGAAATTCTTCTATATGTAGTTGAAAAAGTACTCGAACAGACAAAAATCAAGATTTTAAATTGATCTCAGATACACATCCACAGGTCTTACAGCAACATATTTCAAAGGTCTATATTAACTGTGTGTATTTTTCTTTATTGTGCTTACAAATAAAATACATAAAGAGTTTGTGTATTTAATTCATTTAAACATTGCCTAAGAGATAAGCAAATACTCTGTGTTTTGGTATTCTTTAATCTGCAAACATGTCTTTTAATAGATTAAGTCAGACAAAGTTATCAAAGCAAACCAGCTCTGTGACTGACAAGTGTGTGCGACGTTATTTTCTTTCCCTCTGTCCTGCGCTCTGTGGATCTAGTTCATTGTAAGTCTGTCAATGGGCTGTCAAGGTGTTGTTAGGAAGGAGCTCTATTATTTTCCCCTCTTAAAGAAACATAATTTTAACCTGAGAAAGTCAACCACCCCAACAGAGGGTCATTGCGAAAAATTTGACCCTTGGGGCTAGGCCTTGGAAATTCACTTAAAGACACATTAATCAATTGTCAAGTGCGTCGCCATACATTTGAAAGTCATCAGAGAGAGAGAGAAGATATACTTTTCATTTAGCCACAACTGACCTAAACATATGTGAATTAATCTAACTGTGCTAGTAAGCGCTAATTCTAATGTAACTGATATTTTAAGGTATCATAGTACACCACAGCAGCACACAATGGCCATATTTACACTTGGTATGAACATTAGCCTTAGGTGATCCAATCACAAGTCATTGGTGGACAAAGGGGACAAAACATTTAGTAATCAGCCATGTTCTGAATGATTCTTACAAACTCGAGCCCAAAGTTCAAATCAAGAACAATGTTGCTGTCACAAAACATAGTACTGTGTTGAACATGAACATGAATGAAAAATTTTAGCAGATGTTGTACCAGCCTTATTATTTGCTGGTTATCTGCACATCAATTCAATTACTAGGCCTACAAATCCAGTTACAGACCCAGCGGAGGCTTGAAAGCTCACACACCCACCAAAAAGTTCCAGAAAAGCCACACATCTATACAGGTGTGTTAATGACCAATTAATCCAACTGTAAATCCCTGATATTGGAAGGTTGCAGGTGTTCGGCATTACTTACGGATTCACAGAAGTCTAAATAGTGTCTTGGAAGTCTGCCATGTGTTGAACAAAAGCAACATCCTTTAAGAGTCCTGAACATCTGTTGGGTGAATCAAGGTAGTCATGCATCTCTTGTGTTGCAGTAACATTAAGAGGCTGAACATTGGGCATCTGAATTACCAGAGACATTCCCGTTAGCAACTGCTCACACACATCCAAGGCGATGCAACAATAGAAAGAACAACAATGTCTGATTAAGGCAACCACATCTAAACCATGCCATGGCAATGCACCTGGCAAGCCACATTCCCATTAATCTCACAAAGCAATTCAATGAGATGGTAAAGGTACAAATTCCTTATTGTTTGGCTTCCTTTAAAGATGAAAATCAAAGTGAAAGAATATTCTCCACACTAATGCTGTGCCTCAGTAACTTCAGCACTAAACTTCACTCTATAGGACCCTGATGAAATGATCATATAAAAGAAATACTTGCATTTTTATGAATTATGTAAATGGTATACCCGATTTATATTGGTTCTAGAGATGTATTGGAAGATTTACCATGTTGTGCAATGCAGAATGAGGGTGTTGATGCCGTGTTGACCAGAGGTGGACAGATTATTTTGTGACTGGCTCTCACATACTATAATATAAAACTGTACGGGCACGTGTATGGACATGTCATCCAGATGAAGCGGTTGAATGGAAAAAGGATGGTCTAACAGAAACTTTCTAGCTCTCCCATTCATCTCAATGGCAGTAGCTCAAATGATGCCTGACCCCTAGGAAGTGCACAGCCTGCTGATTGGCATCTTTGCTCATGAGTACACAGTTCCAAATCATTTTTTTTTATCTTCAGTTAATCATCTGATCTGTAAATAACACATTACTCAGCAGAACTATCCGATCCTGAACTATGACATCAGCAGCAGTAGAAAAATATAAACCTAATTCATGTTTTTATGATGTCTCCAAAACAAGGTCTCTTACTAAAGGTATACTACAATAAATGCATTTTGTTTCACCAGTTTAAATGGTTATCTTTGAAGGGCTGTCAGTGGAGAAAGATGCTTTTAGCCACCAGTATGGTGTAGTTATGCCATTTACCACCAGGGGTTCATTAGACCATGCTAACCAGCCAGACGTTGACCCCTAGGATGGTTTTAGTTAGGCATGCATGGGCTTCAATATGCTAAATTCAGCAATGAAATGAAACCACAAGTACTAGGAAATGCTCTAAAAAAACACCTTTGAATGTCACAAGGGAGAGGTGAGTATGCCCTTTAAAACATGAGTTCAGTTTCAACCATCGATGACATTTTATGTTTTTATAAAATCTAAAATGTTCCTGAAACATTTCATGTAGCATGCTAAAATTTGAACAGTTTACTAACCATTCATTTAATCATATATCATAGTTTAACTCCATCAGATTGGACACATTTGGCTGTTGACCACAATGATAAGGCAAAGCGGAAGGCAAGTCTAATGGATGTTTTTTTTTTACAACGTGCCTTATGCAGATTTCAAATTGTCCATTTTTTTAGATGAACCCTTATAAGAAAAGCACTACCAACGGCCTCTTCCTGTAGCACCATCTGCAAAGGCTTAAACTTGTATTATCAGAGGCACGCAATATGGAAATAGATATTGATTTCATGAATACTATTTTTCACTGGTTACAATGGTTACAATTATGACAGATCCTTTTAAAAAGAGAATACTGAATGGAATAAATTTACATCTCAGGCCAAGTCTTCACTTAATGGTTTTTGAAAACGTTTTACGTTAACGTATAATACAGACGTTACAGCTTATTTGACTGCTAATTTGTTTGGGCGATACTTAAGAGATGGTTGTAAACGACCGTTTATGTTCATTTATTAGCAACCTAGCGAAGCTCATCTGAGCCGTGTTCTCACCACCTGATTGGCTGGCCAGATACTTTAACGACAACGCAAATCGCAAGGAAAAACTACCCACACACAGTGCAATCAGTGGAACCTGTGTTACCAAGTTCCTGTTTTTAAGTCCCCTGCATCTACTTATTCAAATGTCATGGGCTTAGTTTTGTATGCTATGTCTTACTGTATTCTTGTTGTTGTGTATTTGTAATCAAACTAATGTAGGCAATCAGTTGTGTTCATATCTCACTGTGTTATCTTCCATAATTGCACTTGATTATTATATTCATTAACATGTTCCTCATACATTTATGATGCAATCTGAAATGGTGTGCTACAGATGTAATGCACAAATAAGGTCATAATAGTCTGTGGAAAACTACTTGATATTTTTTTTTCTTTTCTTCAAAGTCTTCATTGTGGGGCTCTCATTTGACCTACATGTGCACTTTGTTCCAAACTGGCATTACTTTTTTGAAAAAGTAACTCAGATATTTTCTTGTAAATTAAAAAAGTAATGCGTTACTTTACTAGTTACTTCAAAAAAGTAATCTGATTACGTAACTCGCATTACTTGTAATGAGTTACCCCCAACACTGTTGTTCACTGATGTAAGGTCTAGCAAAGACTCTAAGCTCAGACAACAGACACTGAGTTAAAAAACTATACACTTTTAGATGAGAGCGATCTCAGCAGAAGCATCTTGATGAGCCACAGAGTCAAAATAACTATCCCAGAATCAAGAACTCACATACCATCAATTGATAATTGATGTATTGGTGAGTCATTGCTTTCAAGAATATCAGCCTGCTGTCATAAAAAGCGCAGACATTTCCTTTGTACCTGGCAGGTGGGAGCAGTAACTCCAGTTTGCTGAGAGCAGAGGCAGAGGAGCTTGTGCGAAAGGTGTTGAAAAGCACTAAAGCTTGGGTGTAAATCCTGGTACCTCCCTCTCTGTAAACACAGGACCATTGCTTAATGCTCAGAGTGTCATGAACTGAAAAGGGCTCGACCATTGATTAATGAGCACATTCTGGGAACATGGAGGAAAAAGGCATCACTAAAGCTTATTCACAGTTTCAACCTAAGGCCTTCGGTGTTCTTTGCCGTCTGAACTGCCAGCACTCAGTAGACAAACTGAAAGTCATAACGAATCTGTGCTAAATACATTTGGATGGTTCCTGTACCCCAAAACCTAGCTTCACTGATATTTAATTACAATACTATACAGGCCATTCATTTAATAATGGGTGTCTATATTGTACTTGACATGAAACACCCTCTACTTGTGTTTTTTTTTTCAATCGGCCTGATCAGGGACAGTTTGGATAAATACGTTACGTGATGTTCATTAGTCTATATTGTTCTTGAGTGTGCTCTGAATACCAAGTCAAAATCCCATAGCAAACATCACTTTCACAAATTCAGTATGAAGGACAAAATTTAACCAATTGGACTAATTGCCTTTGTCCAGCTTCTTAATTATATGCAATGAAATGATGTGAGATTTACCAGAATATAAACATATTTAATGCAGTCTCTTCTGGATGCAGTAGAAACGGAAATAAAATGATGCCTAAAATTGACAAATTTGTACTGGTGTTGCAAGCTCAGTATTGAAGGTGACACCAAAATTGAGAACATAAAGAAAACACTATAAACCTCTGCAATATCTGGATGTTTAGTGTGAATAAAAGAGCAGTGATAATTATTGAGCATTTAACTTTCTTCATTTGAAACATTATATTAACACTTTATATAAATGGTCTGCGTAGAGCCACACGTTTGATGAGGCAGTACCAGAAAGGCTTGAAATCATTGCTTGCCTGGGTGTGATAAAAACTATTTGCAGAAGGATCTTCTGACTTAATGCATATTGCACTCCAAGACAAGAGCACTGGTTGTTTGATGTCTGTGGATCTAAGCATTTTCAGTGCATGGTTGCTGAATCAGTCCAATATATCCAGCCTTATTTCTGCCGGCATAAATGCCATTCCACAGAGAAGAGTCATGTCTGAGATCATTTTCCATATATTATTCAATATTCACTAACACTATGCTAAGAGATCCAGAAAAACACAATTGTGACCCTGGAGCACAAAACCAGTCGCTTGGGTATATTTTTTATCAATAGCCAAAAAAACATTGTATGGGTCAAAATTATCGATTTTTCTTTTATGCCAAAAATCATTAGGATATTAAGTAAAGATCATGTTCCATGAAGATATTTAGTACATTTCCTACCGTAAATATATCAAAACTTAATTTTTGATTAGTAATATGCACTGCTCAGAACTTCATTTGGACAGCTTTAAAGGCGATTTTCTCAGTATTTTGATTGTTTTGCAACCTCAGATTCCAGATTTTCAAATTTGGAATCTCGGCCAAAATATGGTCCTAACAAACCATACATCAATGGAAAGCTTATTTATTCAGCTTTCAGATGATGTATAAATCTCAATTTCACAAAATTGACCCTTATGAATGGTTTTGTGGTCCAGGGTCACAATTTTCAAGTCAAACACATATAACCAAACCAAATCATGTACACCATCAGATAAACAGGACAAAATGATCATTCAGTTATTGTTTTTGCTTTTAATAGCACATATACTGTATTGAACAGCCAGTGTCTGCTGCACTTCCTTGAATATTCTCTTGTAATGTCCGTATCTGTCTTTTTATATGACAGCTGATAAGGCAGGTGGCTTGGCCTGCGTGTTTTGATGGGGATACAGCAAAATAACAGCTATAATAAAGCCATAACTCAGCAGAGTCATTAGAGGAACGGTTACAGTGTTCGTCGCACCTGCCGCTTTCCCCTTTTACATCAGACACAGGCTGTACTTTATGGCCCAGTCTCTCAGTTTAGTTTGGTGAAAGCCGAGCAGGGTAACACTGTAAAATGCTGCACCGCCAGCCAGTTGTTAACACATGGCTCTCTAGCAATCGTCTATGTTAATGTGCCAGTCAAAACCATGTTGTGTTAGCAAGGCCTCTGTTGAGATGTTTTTCTGTATTTGTCTTTGCTATATATACATTTTTTTTTTTTTTACATTTAGGACATTTGATAACTGTAGAAATTCAGCTGACAGGACCAGATAATTGCATGCAATTTTTTTTAGCATTTTAGTGAGTTGTTTTGAATCAGCTTTATGCTGCTATTATTATTATTATTATTATTATTATTATTATTATTTAATTTTAGTACAACTTTTAAGGTCCTACTGATGTAAAGGCTTTGCTTCATAGAGTTCCAAGAATAAACGTTTGGTGGCATTGCCCTGCCCCCTTGTGGTGATATTGTAATGTCAAGTAAGAATTTTTAATCTGTGTGATAATTGTATTCCCCATTGTTAGACTGATCTGTCAGAGTAAGCTAAAACAAAACTGAGTGTAGGAACTGTTTTCTGAAATGCCATACATTAAAAACAATGGCATTTAAACAGATAAAAAGGTGGACTTTAACAACCAAACCAACCCATTCATCCACCCACTTACTCAGTGATCACTGCCAATCTGCCACATAAGTTCAGGAACAAACATGTTTTATTTTTCTGTCACCATAGGGACTAGCATTTGAATAAATGAGTCATTCAAGTGAAAAATGTACAGGTGTTAGTAACAATGCCTGGCTGAGATAGACAGAGGCATTTATCATGAATACATTTGACAGGAGTTCTCAGGTTATCTCATGTTATTCTACAAGGACACATCACACATTCACTAGCTTTGGACATCGGTTTAAACATTGGTAAGGACTACTTATTGATGTTATTAGGGTCAATAACATATAAGGATGTTTAAGATGTGTGTGTGTGTGTTTGTGTATCATTCAAAGGTTTGGGGTTGTACAGTTTTTTAATACTTTGGAAAGAAGTCTCAAGTCTGAAAGATGCTCAACCAAGGCTGCATTTATTTGATCAAAACACAGTTAAAACTGTGATATTTTGAAATATTATTAGAATTTAAAATAACTGTTTTCTATTATAATAGATTTTAAAATGTAATTTATTGCTGTGATCAAAGCTGGATTTTCAGTATCATCACTCCAGTCTTCAGTGTCACATGATCCTTCAGAAATCATTCTAATATGCTGATTTGCTGCTCAATAAAAAAATATTTTAAAATTTTAATTATTTTAATCAGTGTTGAAAATAGTTGCACTGCTTAATATTAGTAGTTTTGCTTCTCTCCTCCACCTGTGCGCTTCGATAGTCCACTCCATTCTCTCTCTTGCATTGATTACTCTCATCCAAACCGTTTGGCGGAGGCGCGGAGAACGCGCGAGCCCAAGCATTGCCAGTCACGACTAACCGATTCATGATTTATTAGAGATTTAATTATCGAATGGCGAATTCGGAAATAATCGCTTTAGTACATTCGGCAGGCAATTATACAATAATAATATTAAAATAGCGGGCCAAATCGGCTGCCAGGCCACCGGGAATTGTCCCGGTTCTTCCGATGGCCAGTCCGCGCCTGATTCCACCCAGATAGCAAGAACGTTTGGGCTTTTGGATGACAATTTTTTTGAGGTATATGGTCCAGATGATAGCACACAACTGAGAGCCATATGTGGCTTGGCTATGGCACACCATGGAATATGTTAATTTATGGTTAAGATTTGGCTTTTATTTGGAAAAACACATATAAACTGCTGGCAGGTCAGTGGCAGTCCACATCTCAGCCCATTCAACAATGCTATTGGTTGCTTTGTGTCTTCCCTTATTCCTATTGGTGGATTACTGAAATTTTGAAAATATATCCGTTATTTCCCGCTCTGCTTCCTCTTTCAATCGCCGTTAAAAAAGAAGAAGATGATGAAAAAGCTCCCTACAACAACAGCCTTTTTGCCCAGACACATTCTTATTCAGGTAAGTGCAGTTTTGGTGTTTTTAATGTTTTCTAGGGGTGTAATGGTACACTTATTCGTACCGAAAATTGTACCGAACAAATACAGTGTCATTTTAACCACTGCACGTGCGGAACTTAATCCGTTTCAATTCATAGCCGTGAATAAATCTTCACTATACATTATTACTATACATTACATTCTGTAATCGTAAGGTTTGTGTTTTGTTCTTTTCGTTAAGAAACAAAGTCTCATTTTTTAAATTATGTATATTTTATTAGGAAATTAAATCCATAAATGCCGTTTTGACGCTCTGTGATGTGGCGTGACAGACCGCTGCAAGCGGAAGCGCGGAGAGCGACCCAGTCAGCAAATTTCCTCTGGCGCGGATCTGGCCCATATCAACAGCTAAAGTGTGGCCCAGATTAGTTCGTGTTTGCCGGCCCAAAATTGGTCCAGATCTTTTTAGCCAGAACTGAACCAAAACAGTGCCAGTTTTCTCACCGGTTAATGACATATGATGTTTTGTAGTAATGTTGTCTCTGGTCTGTGTGCTTATATTAGGGTGACCATACGTGCCATTTTCCCAGGACGCGTCCTGGCCAGGATTTCTATATTGCTTTGATTCAAAGTACCTCGACAGCGTTTCGAAAACACAAGGAACCGATGTCATACACCAATCGGTCTGCACACGCGAACAAAGCCAAACCCTAGATATTTTAGGCAATATAGAAATCCTGGCCAGGACGCGTCCTGGGAAAATGGCACGTATGGTCACCCTAGCTTATATGCGTTCAGGAGGCGTGGCTTTGGATGGCGATTTTCAGGGAGGGCGGGACATACGCTTTCAGTGCTATCAGGCTAAAGTTAGCATTTTCCAAGATGTCCTACTGCACCTTTAAAGAGGAGATTTTCAAAAGAAAATTGTGACACACTGACTGGAACACAGGCTGTAAATACTTCTAATCAAACATTCTGTTAAAAAGATGATATTCATCAAATCACAACTGCAGCATTTATTACTTGGCATATGATGACATCTTGGCATATGATGACATGGAAAACACCAGAAATTCTAATGGAATTGACAGCATTTATTTTGTTAATTGCTTATTACAGTTTTTCTCAATCGATTTGACACTTTTCTCCAATGCAATCCAAATTTCTCCAGCCATCCAAACACAAAATTATCTTAAGCAAACAGTTCAAACTTTACTACAAAATGAAGCACTGCAATTTTTTCTAGTAATGCATTTATTAAAAGTAAATATTAACATCAAATCTACAGGTGCGTTCTTTATTGATTATAAAACACATTCAGCTGTAGATGCACAAATATGCCAGAGGTGTGACCAAGTCATTGTTTTGCAAGTCACAAGTAAGTCCCGAGTCTTTGCATTCAAGTCTCGAGTCAAGTCCCGAGTCAAGACAGACAAGTCCATATGGGATGATATTAGACTCTAAATGATTAATAGATGCACGCACAATTATCCATGTACTGCATACATCTTTTCACGAGCGGAGATCGCTACTAGACGAATCATGTAATTATTATTATTTTTTTTTAATCTCTGTTCTTTTGTCGTAAGTTATGCTATTACTCCATTAATGTATTCTAGCCTATAAATCCAGCACCCCCTGAACGCAGTCTCTGGCTTATTGCCAGTCAAGCGCAAGCACGCTGCAGGGACGCGTCTATAACGACTTTGATCTGCTCATAAAGTCTTTCCGAGTCACAGGGCTCAAGTCCAAGTCAAGTCTTGAGTCATTGCTGTCAAAGTCTAAGTCGAGTCTCAAGTCTTCTTTAAATATGTCAAGTCGAGTCGCAAGTCATCAAATTTGGGACTCGAGTCCGAGTCAAGTCTCGAGTCATGTGACTCGAGTCCACACCCCTGAAATATGCTAATGCAAATACATGTTTATTGCAATTCTTCAACAGGGAGTTTTGTTTATATATATTGTGTATATCTAAATGCAATCATTGAAGTCGTGGCCTAATGGATAGAGAGTCTGACTTATAACCCAAAGGTCGTGGGTTCGACTCTCGGGTCCGGCAGGAATTGTTGGTGGGGGCTCCCCCATGAATACCAGCGCTGTCTTCCACCCTCAATACCATGACTGAGGTATGACCCTTGAGCAAGGCACTGAACCACCAAATGCTCCCTGGGTGCCGCAGCAATTTGGCTGCCCACTGCTCCAGGTATGTGTTCACTACTGTGTATGTGCACTTGGATGGGTTAAATGCAGAGCACAAATTCCGAGTATGGGTCACCATACTTGGTCACTTTCAAATAAAAATTGTTATCCAACACCTGCTATCACCCATGAGAAAAAAACGAATTGCCCCTTTAAACTTAAAATCTGTTTGTGCCACCTTTAGCAGCACCGCAAGAACTGCAAACAAACTTTTCTGATAACTACAGATCAGTCTTTTACAGCACAGTGGTGGATATATATATATATATATATATATACACGAAGTCAGTAAAACCAGGCCAATCAGAACCCTTTTGCAGGGATTTTCCCACCACCTTTATCCTTCAGACTCCCACTAAGCGGCGGAGGGCGAGAAGGAGGAC